ATGGTTTCTCCTTTATCAGCGAGGCTAAGAGTCGAATAGAATGAGTTGGAGTCTTTTGCTGTGGTAGCTGCAGTCCACCCAGCTTCTCAAACTCCCTGGCTATCCACGGGATAGTGAGAAAATTGTATATCAGCCGACATGTCACAGCTAAATCGTGGAATTCGCTGCTGCATTCCTCTGCCGAGAAAAGGCCGCCGATAATGCTCGCGTTCCAGTGTGCGAGGCATGGAGCACACTTCACAGTTCCAACTATCTCATGATGGCCGAGGTCAGTTGCCAACAGGTTCCTTGCGCGAGCCATCAAACCATCGTCGGGACACACAATACGCGCGAGTTTCAAGTTACCTGAAGCCTTTGAAGAATGAGCAGCCCGGAGAGGCCGGGCAAGACCGATTTACATGTTACCTTGGATAATATCGCCGATGCAAACTTCCGGAATGAAGTCCTTCATCTTCGATGCCAGTGTATCCGCGTCGCCATCCAAAGCCAAGCTCTTCCAAGGGCGTACTCGAAAACCGGAAGCACATGCATATCCCAAGCAACACACCACAAGTACGTGAGAGCTCCCATCGCTGAGCTCAACCGGGAAAGCGTTGGCCAAAAGTGTCACTTCACCGAAGGCTGCTTGGGACAATATTTCAGTCAAGATTTTTTCCAACTCTTCGTCGTACACCTCATCGCTCATTGCCAGTGCCGAAGCCGTGTCGAACTCTTTCACCGTTTTCGAATAACCCTTACGGCGTAAGGCTTACGCAGAGTGTTCAAACAATCTTTGAACTCCTCGCCCACAACGAGCTCGAGTGGGATGCCATGCGTCATACAGAATCGGACTAGTGATTTGTGGAACGGGGCAACGATAGATGGGGGAGGTACGGGAGCAAAATACTTCGCCAGACCATGCAATGGAGTATGCTCCCCCACATCATCTTCACTAGCAGCTAACACACAAGGTGTGCTAGGGGTGACCGACGTTCTTTTGGCTTTGGCTTTGGAGGGAGGGGGAAGCCCGAGATCTCGATAGTGTTCTTGCTCTATGTGCTCTGAGAACCTTGTGACGTTCTTGAATTTGAACTTTTTAGGACTTCCACGACACAGCCTGCATCGGTAGTGCAATGGCTTGTCTCCAGGGGTCGCACCATCCCTGTACTCGGGCATGAAGAACTTTTTTCCGTCGATCGCGTGGAGGGTCATAGAGGAGGGCTGATGCAGTAGACAAATAGTGCTGTCAAGTGGAAGGGGTGTATCAGACTCAACACAGCTGATTGAAGAAGCATACTTAACTATTAGCTTGCAATTCAAATCTCAAGCGAATCACTGCTATCGACTCATGGCGACATGATTGCGAAACGAGCACAAGACGAGCAGCATGTTACGCAAGCACTACCTGAATCGCTGGCCAGCAATGCAGCAAACTCTGCTGAGCAAGGTAGAACTCCGCCTCATAATAGTCGATACTCAGCTGTGGTGAGCTCCACCCAGTCTTTCCCTTCAGCTTTATCATCCCACTTGATCCTTGCTTCTCCTGCCCGTCCGAGACGCTTAACCGTTCCTTTGTGCCACTTTCGGATCTCCTTCTTTCGCCGTGGATGCACAACTTTATATGACACCGCGATTCGTTGACCGACAGCGAGTCCAGTGACAGCTGCAGGAGTTCCTCCCTGCACGTTATAACCAGTCACTTTTCGCTCCTTTGACTTCCTATCTGCACCTTGAATCAACCCATCACGCACAATCAATTCCGAAATTGATCACAGTGAACACCCCGACGCCCTCATGCATGCTGCTCTACAGTAGTCGATACCCTCAGAGTAATCACAGTAAGCTCTGCTACCATAACACCACCCTAGGAGCGCTAGGAACGGACGATGCTGGGTCGCATTCGTCCATCACCTGTCGAGTACAACATATCATCGATCTGGATGACGTTAGGCACCTCAGCGGCTTAGCGAGAGTTTGCCAGACGCACAGCGACAAAGCATCACGCACAATCCCATCACGCACTACCTTGTCTTCAAGCTACGCAAGTCAGCAATGCATGGGTTCATCTGAAGAGCTGCAGACGAACGAGTTGCAGCTTTCGTTCTGTACATGGATCGTCGGTTTATGACCCCTACCTCTACATGGCCCCCTACTCACTGGGCTGCAGCCGCAGGTGAGCGTCACCGCACTAACAATGCGGCAGAGTCTCTGCACTCGGCACTCAAGCTTCTAGTTGGTCGACGCCGTCCCAACATAAGGATCTTCATTAACAAGCTGAAGATCCATCATGAAAGTGTGCGTGTCAAACTACGCTCTCTCCATATTCCAATCTCCCGTCGAAGTCCTAAAGAAGTTACTCGAGTTTCTATTGCTAACCGGTATGCTGATGGTCAAATAACATTCTTCGAATATTTGGAGGCTGTAGGCCGCGTTAATACGTTCCCAAGGCTGAGCCGTGATGGCGATATCGATATCGATGACGTGCCAACGTGATTCATCTATTCAGACTATCTTCCCCAAGGATGGGTGACCACTCCTACTATGACGACCGGCATGCTTACCCTAGACGTGATACCAAGACTAGACGTCTCTATTATGAATGGGTTCGAAAAGGCTCTATCAAGCCTGAAGCTGATGTCGAAGTACCTAGTGGATCACGTGACATGGACGTCGCTGGTCCCACGACTCAGATTGTTCGTCAAGCTAGGACGTACCGATTTCGACCTAGTTGACGGGGCAACCATAACTACTAAGGACCTTGACGACTTTGGCCTCCGTGACGAGTTCACTATCACTACTTTGGGACAACTCCTACGTTGGACTTTGATCGAAGGCCTACTTACTACGTTCGGTTGCTGGGATGCTGGTACTACCTCCTACGTGCTAGGAGTGCCAAGCCTTCCTCACGATAAATCACTGTCTATCGTCAAGGTTGGACGTCTAAGTATGAGTTTGCACTACTCCTACTTGCGTACGTTTGCCCTCTATAAGGGGATCTACGTCGCCACCTTGTCTGACTACTATCACGGTGCTGGCTCGACGTATATGCTCCACAAACTACATTCCAACGTCGGCAAGGCCATGGATGATATCTTTTCCAAGTACGAGGTGGCCATACAACACTTCGACGTCAGTACTCTCACCGATGAACTGACGTTGGAGGCTCTACGTGTTGCTGAGCAAAGGCACTATTTCTATAAGGGCGAATGGACGTCTGACGACTCTGGAACTAACGTTGACGTTGTGGTAGAGGAACGTGTATCTGATGATTAAAAGAATTATGGTGTATGACGACTTAGACGACTATAAGAAGTACGTAGACGACTATGGTAATTGATGATGACTAATGACGACTATTAGACTAGTTATTTTTTCCTTTTTTATCGTCATTGTAACTTTGAGAACGTTGGGTGTATACGTCAATTCAGTGGGACTACCACCCTACGACTTGTTTTTCCCGTGGCCAATGCGCGGTCACCGCGGTTAACGTGAGCCTAGGAACGACGAGTGCGCAAGATGAGCATCTTCGCCGGCGTATCCAACGGTTTCAGATTCCGCAGTGTATCCGTAACGGTCACGGGGATGTGTCTGAGCTTCGTGATTAAGCGAGTTCGAGATTGAGACTGATCGTTAGATCGTTATATCGTTATCGATTGATTGATCGTTCGATTGGTTACGATCCCTGGGTTGATACGTATTGTACTAGTACTCTGGTCTACTGAGTATCTGCTATGACTAGTGCACGTGAGTAGATCAACTAGTTACTAGAAGTATTGAGATAGATGACTATGATGTTGGGTTCATATATGGACGTGAACTCTCTCTCTCTCTTTCTCTATGTAAGGATTCAGGCGTTGCCAGCCACGGCCACTACGACAATATTGCGCTGTTCCTGCAATATCGCGTCGCGATATATACGGTGGCCGCGCACTGCATGTACTTGCATTTCCTGTACATGCAGCCGCCCGAAAAAGTGCGTTAAAACGTTCAAACGGCCAACTTCCAAACGCTCCTATTTTTACTACATCACAGTCTAATACGGTAATGTACCTATCATTCGGCTCCTCTTCATAACCTCTTCCTTTCTTTGTAGTTTCTACTCCTTCATTCCCAACTACACTGCGATTATGCTTAAAATTTCATGATTTTGGATCTGGAATGTCTCATGCAATTTTCATTCTTTTCATACAACCGTCGTCCAATCTCGAGTACCCCCGCTCAATTTCTCTCAAACCCAGGTACGCCTATTACCGGAGCGTTACACGCCTGTTGGCGTATCGCCCTTACAACGACTAATGCACGCTAAAGTGGTAAAGAGCGGCAGTGAATTCCCCTGTCATGACAGAAATAAAAGAGTAGAGGTCGATAAGAACTAACGGGACCAGCGGACGGGAGTCTCCCAATCCCACACAGCAAGAGTAGGCGGTACCCACAGAGGGAGAATCTCCCTGGGAGATCACAGGTGGAGGTGGCTAGCTTGGGCAAGGGGGAGTGAAACGTGAAGCAGTTGTCTCCGAGTTCGGGTTGTACCGCTGTAGACTCTACAGCGGTACATAGTTGACGGCTGCAGAGCTGTGTGTCTACAGCAGTACATCCTTTATCTCTACAGTTTAGAGATGAAGGATGGTCGGAACCTATTCAAACCTGAGCCATAGAGAAGAAAATGCCGTACCGAGTAAGCAGAATTGTTGCATAGTTTGAAGTCTCCCAGAATAATACTGCGGTGTGGGAATATGCGGGAGAGAGTCCTCTGGAATC